TGATTTTTTAAGGATTATTTTTTTCCTTTCATTCATTACATTAAAAAAAAAATAGTGAATCCACAAGGAACTTTTCATCTCTGGCACTAAAGAGGATGCCCAAAATTAGATGTTAGATTCTGTTTGGCAAAACACCTAAAATACTTATACAGATCTGACTGTGGTATTCAGTCTCTTTGGTATGAAATCAGGCTAAATAAATGTTTGTGTGTTGACTGCTGCAAAATAATTATACAAACTGCAACCAACAAAGGCTGTAATAACTGCTGAAGGTGTAGGAATGGGAAGAGGGCAGTGAGGGAGGTAGCAGAAGGAGGAATGAAGGGAACCTCAAGGTCAAATAAGCAGTGGGTCGGGGCACACAAAAAAATGTAAACAAGAGAAGTCTTTCAGCATAATTTTGAAAGTAATGGATGACAGAGTCGTATTATGCAGGTGTACAGAAAGCACTTTGCTGCATTATGCCAGCTCAAGTTCTTGCTCCTATTTCCTTTTGTCAAGAGGTCTTTGATTGAAGACACGATTGTCTTCCAAAGAAAGGATAAAATGTCATGTGAATAGCTCAAGTGATAGACTTGGATGCAGCAAGAAAAAGCAATGCTAATGGATTTGTGTAGTAAATAATATGGGACAAGAGGGAGAAACAATCAGGCCTAGCACAAGGATAGAGGAGGCAGTTTGAACTTCCATAGCGTTCCAGATTCCTCCCCCTCCATCATGGGGGCATGCTGACACTCATGTACCTTAACCCGTTTGGTTTCGTTTGTTTTGTTTCCTGATCTGCTAGTTCCTCAAAACTAAAAAAAAAAAAAAAAAAGATGTTGAAAAGCATCTGTCCTCATTCCTCATGTACAATTCATTCCAAACCATTTATAGCAAGCTGGGGCAGAAGTCCAGTGCCCTGATTAGCATGTGAAGTATTTCTTCTGGTCCGTATCTGAATGCCCCAATCTTCATATGACTCTTGTGTAGTCACATGAAGTAAGCTTTGCTCATCAAAAGAGCTGTCTCACCTGAAGTATTGACAATTCAGTGGAGATAAGAAACATAGATAAAGATAAGGACTTGCTAAACAGATATAAGTAGGTCCTAAATCAATCCCAGAGAAGGAAAAAAAATCCCTTGTCACAAACATCCCTCTGGATTAAACTTAAATGCCAAAAAAAGTTTCATTGAAAGGAAATAGGAAGCAAGTGAAAAGAATCATGATTTTCATGACTCATTTGTTACGCTGTTTCCACAGTTGAACGTGTGTGTCCTGCTCTATTAGAACAATACAATAAGCAGTGACTTCTGCACAGCTGACAGGATGGAGATGCTGGAGCAGCCAGTGCAGCCCTGGATCCATCCAGCCCCAGCCCAGACAATTAAGCTGGGCTCAACATGGCCTTGTGGAGAGTTCTAACCAGATGTGCTGCACAGACCAAACTACACCTCTGCAGAGACCCTACTTGCCTTCACTTTGTGGCTTATTCTGGAAGAAAGGTGAACTGTTTTGAGACATTATCTCCCCTCTGGGATCAAGCCCAGACTGACCAACAGTCAGAGCAGGATAATGACCAGACCCAAGGGTTAGACTCAGGTTTCTAACATCAGAACATAACAGAAGGCCTTTCTCAACAGTTGTGAATATTAGATTTCAGAAACAACAAAAAACAAAAAACAACATCCAACTCCCTTTGGCCTTTTGTCTGAGATAAGTTGTATCTGTTTGAGATCTGACACGTGCTGTATCAGGACCAACAGCACTCACTGGTGGGGGCATGTGCTCTGTGATCTGACAGATCTTGCCTGTCTTTAGTTCCTCTGATCCTGTGATTTGGCTGCCCTGTGGGTACACTGCACGCTTACCTGAAGATGCACAGAGAGCTGCGGGATGCCATCACACTGTCAAGATGCATCACGAGATAGCAACAGCAGAAGACTTTCTGGGAATGACACCACATCATCATCCACTTCACGCTGATAACTTTGTGGTGTTGTTTCCTGGAGCCATCTCATCCTGTTCAGGAACAGCAGATAGTGTAAAAGAGGTGAGATATGGCACTAAACATTAAAAATGTTATTATCTAGTTTTCTAGTTACTGAGGGCTTAGAGTGAGCCCCAGGACTTTGAGTGCCTCTTCGATCACTGAGCTGACTCAGAGAGCTCAGGAGGTGGCAGTGGCAGGAGGCTTTGTAGACCACTAAATCAAACCAGTAAACAAGATATGCTTCTCCTTGAGACCTGTCTGGAACACATCAATGGGAAAACCTGCTCTGTTAGGGGGTCCTCAGTTAGGGAGGCATATGTTGGAGGTCCCATGCAGCTGGTAAACAATTACTTGGATCGCTTGACAAAGTAAGTCGAAGGAGGGAAGGAGGGAAAAAAGAGGTATAGAGACTAATTCCTTAAATGAGAAAGGTACAGATCCAGTACATCATTTCTGACTTCTAGGAGTTAATTAGTTACAGGCAAAAAAGATGGTGGTCACTAGAAACCTACAGTTGTACCAATGGTGCAAAAAGGATAGCCCAAGCAAATGCCAGACGTGGTTGGCTCAAAAGAGCCAATTAATCACAAATAAATTGAAAAGAAGAAGAAAAAAGACAGAAAAAAATGCAAATGAAGATTAGAGGTACTTTATAATGAATTTCTTGAGCAAGATAATTATGGAATTGCTGTTAAGTTTAATTCACATATGATTTCAATTGAAAAAAATGGTACTTGCAATACTGATAAGGCACAGGATGAATGGGTGAAGAGCTGGCTACTTGGCAGATCTCCAAAAGACAATTGTCAACAGAGTCATCACTGCATGGATTTTTCCTTAACAAAATTTAGCAGCCAGAAGGACTGGTCTGCAACTTGCTGATGTTTTCTTTGGTGGATTCAGTTAGTAAACATCATTAGACTCCTGTCTATGAATTAGTTTCAGTAAGAATTATGCCCACATCAGATCATCTCCACAGACTGTTTTTGGAAAATGTTATTTAATTGAAATGTTTCTGACCTGCTCTCATAGTCTTTGCTGATAACACATTTGGAAAAACAGAGAGGCTGGCAGAGGGATGAAAAAGAGTGCTGCTGATGTGAGGGTGGCATCTGAAAATTTTGGAAAGGTGGAGTGAATTAAAAAAGAAGATACCCTGATACAGCCCAAAGCAAAATTATATAAATGGGAAAGTGTGTTCTTCAGAAGTGTCCTATCTCTGCTGACTACTGAGGGAGCCTAGGAAATGCCTAACCCTATTAGATGCCTAACATTTAGATGCCTAAGAGTTTGGTCAGACTTAGGTTAAGATGCTCCCCACTCTCACAGCAAAGAAGAGAACGCAGGCTAGAGACTACACCCTAGGTGGGCATAAGCCAGACTCTGGAATCCAGTTGTCACGTTAAAGAAAGACATAACAAAATTGGAGAAGGCTCAAAAAGAGCCACGAAAATGATTTACTGACTGCAGATAATGTTTGACAGTGATAAACCTAAAGATCTCACACTGTTTAATTTATCAAAAAGAAGATTAAAAGGTTACTTCATTGCAAGAATTATCTCATAGGAACGCCACGTACTGAAATGCTCTTTAATCTAGCCAGAATGGCACAAATATTTAGCATTGAAGGTGATTAGCCACTAGAATGAAGCATCAAGGGAAGAGATGGAATTTCTCTCTCCTGATGTCTTCAAATCGGGTCTGAATGCTTTTCTGGCAGCTGTGCTTTAATCAAACAAAAGCTATGCTTTAGTCAAATGCAAGTTACTGGGCTGAATACAGGGAAAGTTGGACAAAAAAAGGATGCACTCCTGGCCTCAAAAACCTACAAATCTGTGAATGCCAGCTGTAATTTGAATGTACTTGCAAAAATCAAAGTGTTCAAAGTGTTCCCTGCTTTAAGGGATAAGAATCCCAGGAGAGTAGGCAGGGACATGCTTCTAGCGCTTACAAACAGCAACCAGTGCTCTAAAAAAATCAGCTTCTTGTCCAAAACTTACCACTGACTGCCTCCATGGCTTGGGCATGACCACTGCTTCAAACCGGGCTGTGTGAAAAGAGACACATCAGAACTGTGATAGGCAATGCGCAGGCATGCACCACTCTGGGTGCAGAGGGATTTGTGAACACTTACTGTCCACGGATGTGAATTTACACATTCCCTAATGAAAAAGGAACACTTTGGGAGTGACTTCTATAGCATCTGAAAGACTCATGGGAAAGCCAGCCTCACTTCTTGATCCTAGATCAGAGCCAAGTCTTCACCATTCCTGCTTTTTGGCATCACCTTTCTTTGTTCTCTCAGCTGTAAAATAATCACATTTCCTGAACTGGACAACTGAAAGGATTAACATTAGAATACTAGTTTTCAACCCAGGGGTCTGCAGACCTCTGGGAGCTCTGTGGTCTACTTCTAAGGTGTCTGTGAGAGGTGGCGAAGGAAAACAAGCCCATTTATGCTGTGCAGTGCTTCGAGAATGTGCATTTCAAAAGGGACACGCTCCTCTGCAAAACACACCACGGCTCACAAATCAAAAAAGGTGAAAAAAGCAGAAAGTGAGAGGTAGCCTGTAAGTGACCGCTGCTTTGCAGCTGCTTCCCCTGCCAGCCGGGGCTCACTGAACCTTGCTGGATGCACCTCACACCTCAACCCCACAGCCTGCCTGCAGTCAGTGGGCTGATGCCCCCAGTGCCTCCTCTCCCATCAGCACCAGAGCAGTGCCGAAGGGCTGCAGGATGCAATCTCACCTGGAGCGTTCCCATCTCCTGGCTGCTCGCTGCCTCCCGCCCAGCACCGTGCTCTGTGCTGACAGCTTTTTGATTTTCCCCTCTGCGGGGTGGGCAGACGCAACCACGTTAAGGATCGCTTCTCATCTTTGTCTCCAGCCTCTGTCGCTTTCACCTATTCCCACGAGTTCGGAGCTTTTTTTTCTCCTTTCCCTCCTTTTTTTTTTAAAAACAAAAAAGCCTTGCTTGTCAAACAAGTTTTTCTCCCTGAACTCTCCGGCTCCCAGCCGTGACACAGGCACAGAAATACTATTCCCAAGGTGAAAGTTTACCAGCTCGAATAACAACGCCAGCTGCTCTCTTGGCAACAAGTTCCACCTCGGATGCAGAAGGGGTGAGCATGCTGCAGACCGGGCTGCAGCATCCTGATGAAGCACACTGCAGGCCGAGCTGGTACCCAAATGCTGTGCTATGACAGTGCCTGTGTGCAGGTGCTCCCGAGCTGCAGCTCTGTGGGATAGAGGGACTGGGAGAAGGAGCTGGGCATGGAGGCTCTGCCTTACACAGCTTGCTCAGACTGCAGTCAAATAGGAAAAGGATGTGTAAGAAAGGAAAGGCATCCGAAAAGCATCATGTGGGGCCCTGCTAACGATTACCTTTGCAGTGGGCGTCAGAACGTGCCATTCATTTACAGCTGGAAAAAGGCTTTTCTGCTATCCATGCATTCTAAAGCATTTAGGGCCATTTCTTTTACAGCGCTGATTTTTCTTATTTTTTTTTTTATTTGCATCATTGCTAAACATTCTTTTAGAATCAGACTAATGATACATATTTACAGGAAACAGTCATCTTACTTTTTAATCTTGGAATCCTAGTTCTCCTTTAATCTTAACACTCCAGCTTTGTATTTGAGCTCTGCATTTGCATACAGAGTTTAAGCAAACAGCCAAGGTATCAAATAACAAAGCACAGAAGCTCTAAGAACTGTAATAGTAAATAAGAAACATATATCATAATATCCAGGCTTGACACTGGGCATTTTGAAATGCCACGCTGGTAAAGAAGAATTCAAAACACTGTTTCATCGACACCTGACTCCAGATTCTTTCATCAGACTGACATTATCAACAACCTAATAAAAGTATTTCGCTTTTTATTTATTTAGATACATTATTTATTATTTTATCAGTAAAGGGTTATATTGTTTAAAGCAAGCTGTAGTCACAGAAAGCTTTATGCTGGCTTTTTTAAAGCAGCGTTAACTATGAGGTGTGCGTGTAGCCAGTACAATCATGGACCTGACTTTCATATTGACTGTGTATGTATATAGCTACACATATCCTAGATCTGTTATTGGCATTTAAAAAAAAAAGAATCAAACATTTCTGGGGATAGTTACGTGATGGCACGCTGTAAGAGAAACAAATCTATCAACAAAGCACAAATTATGTATCTTAACCAAATTGAAGGTGTCTCCTTTTAAGGCAGTTCAGAATTGCAGAACGAAGAGCCAAGAAATTGCACATACTGCAGGGTGCTCAGAGGGGTAGAGAGGTGGATTTAGGCTTTTTGGCTCTGCAGCCCCCTGCTGGTGGAGGATCCCTGCCCCGCAGTGGGACATCACAGCCCACGGCCCATTTGTGGCCATGCCCCATGTTGCCTCCATCAGCCTGTTCTGACACCTGTTAAGGGAAGGAAGAGTTAAACCACAGTAATTTTCTTTTCCTTTCCACTTCCTATCACTGCTGAAATTACTGGAGCTTTGTACATCTGGTTCAGTTCATTGCAAATGATTCAGGTTCTCTTTTCCCCCCCCTCCCTTGGGAACACCTTTCCTGAGCCTTGCTGCGGAGGCTGACCCTGGTGCCAGCAGGATGGAGCCCCAGGAAGTCCCAACAGCCTCATCCCGACTGCGAATCCCCAGCTGGGTTTTGAATGCATTGCATCAGAGAGCAGTAGGTCACCACATTAATCAGGAACTCTGAAATCCTGTGAGACACCTTGTTGGGAACGGTTCTGGCTGCTCTTAAACATAATTTAAAAGACATTGGGGTTATTTTAAGGGTTTTCCTTTCCTTCAGCCCTATCTCTATGTAAATGTTCCCTTCCCCTTCTCACTGCCGACTGCTTCTAACAGACATATTATTTTGCTTCTCTGGCCTACTTTGTTTCAGACAAAGTTTTGACTATCCAAGTTCTTTTTTATTCCATTTTACATATTTAATGCTATGTTGTAAAACGTCCTTCCTCTTGAGCAGTAATAAAAACCTTTTTTTCCCCCCCTCCCCTCTTCAGATTTCTTTTATAACACATTCAGCATTTTCTGGGACATAATTAAAACATCAAACAGTTTTCCTGCTGGTTATGCTAAAATCTGAATGCTCGAGTCTGCTGGCATTATTGAAAATTAAAATGTACTATTCTAGAGTGTATTTAGGATGCCCTTAAATAACTATCAAAAATGGTTTTGTTCTTCTTCATATAAAGACCAACACCATCATGCTAAAATACCTGCATTAAATAATGTCTCTAATTGGTAGCATGAGGATACTTTTAAAAAGTATAAAATATGTATTTTTGTTCACTATTTTTCCTAGGCTAATCTGTCTAATTTTCCCATACAACGTTATCCCCAAGGAAAAATATAGACAGAAAAACCATTACCAATACATGAAGTTCAGTGGTTTTCTCTCTTTAGATGTAATTGCTATCAAGCAGGCTGGCAGCTGGGTAATTTTAGTTCAAATGAGTACATAGCCTGAAAAAAGGACAAATCAAACTTTGTAGGTCTGAAATTAGATCCCAGTGTGGGATTGTTCTAACTGAGTGTACAGCAGGTTCATAAAATACATTTGCCAGAATGAAAAGTCCCTAAAAATCCAAGGACAGCAGTGAGCTGGAAGGGGAAGAGGTTTTGCCCTGCTGCAGTCTCCTTCCTCCTCCCTTAACCAGTAATGGCTTCAAATTACCTTTTTAAACTGTCGCAAAGCGTTCAATCCTGCTCTCATTCAAAGCAGTGGAAAACCCCCCACAGCACTCCAAATCCTTGTCTCAGGGTAATTAGTTCCTCCAGTCCACAATTAGGGAGGAGCTGAGTAAGAAAGAACCAATTTCCTTGGGAAGCCAGGTGGGACAGCTTTACCAGAATTAGGCACCTGAGGATCTGGGTATGGAGGCCCAACAGCACTCACAAGTGAGCTAATCAGGATAACAGAGCCTGCATATGTCAATTTAAATCATCCTGTAAATAGCCCTGTGGTGGAATTAACACCCAGTAATGGTTTGGGTTATTGTAGAAATTTCTTCATCCCAGATAATCCTATAGATTAAGACCATACTCATTCTTAAATCTGACCTGCCTATTTTCTTGCTCCATTTTGGTCAACAAAGTGTGTCCAGCTTTATAACTGCAAATTTTCAGCAAGACAGGGCTTGGGTTTTTCCTCTTTATCAAAGGATAGCACCAAATGGGACATGTCAGAGAGGATCCTTTAAAAAAAAAAAAGAAAAAAAAGGATATTTACTATTCTGCAACTCCTAGAAGCATACCTGGAATTTGCAGAAACAAGATGGAAACATAAATGTATGTCCCAGGTTGATGATGAAGTTTCTCAAACAACCTCTGATGGCCATTTTAAGTTTCAAGTGCCCTTCTTCTCAAGTTTCTTTAATCTAAAAATTAGCGTGCTGCACGTCAGTCTGTGGGCTATATATACATTACTTATATTCAAGTCTAATATTTCGATTTATTGTAGATGCTTATGTAAATTCCAACCAATTCCCAGAAAGGTCAGCTAAGAAAAATATGACATGAGCATTCTCAGAATAGTAGGCAGAAATGTGACTGAAAATCAGAGGATATACAGAGGTCCTTTTCTGAAAAACAGCCCAAAGGTTACAGGCAGTTCTAACTCTGAGGAAGGGCAGTTGGATCAGATTTTCTCACGCCTGCTCTCTGCTTCCCACTAAGCACGGACAAACCATTTTCTTAAAGGTTAAAGAGTCTGCATAACCTCATCTGTGCAGCGTGTCTGCTCCCTGACCTCAGCTTTCATCCTTGTCCAAAGTGTTACTACAGTGATAATAATAATAATAAAACGCCCCAAATGCAGAAGATTGCTGAACACATTTCTTAAGCCAAAGACTTCTGTCTCACTATAATATGCTGAAGTAAAAACATATCCAGGAGTCGTCCCTGGAGTCTCAAATCATTCTCTCATCACACTGGGTTCAAAGACAATGCGAGTTGTGTAGCGTAGCTGAAAGTATCTGCATAAAGCAGTTCCGCTATGATGTTGTTTTGTTTCTGGCTTGCTTTTACCTGGGCTATCTGAAGACATTGTTTGAGGCTAAGGAAAAGAATATGAATAATGTTTGGGCCTAGAGATCAAAAAATGAGGCTTATTTCCATAGTCGTTAGTAGCCAGTATCCCATGTGGATCTGTTCGTTTCTAAAGCAGCACTGAAATGCTGGATGTGTTAGGAAAGATTTCTTTTTATTTTTATTTTATTTTTCTAAGAGTTTGTTCTTCTTGGTTTTTGAAGATGCTGAAAGCTTTTTGATGTCGCAAAACCAATCATAAGAGGGAAAACACAAATTTAAATGTGAGATAAAAGCGGCTTTGCATGCATGCATAACAAGAAACCTATTGAACAAAACAAATTACTTACCACCTCCACAATGACTCTCTGCCTCCAAGGGATGGGCCGGTTCACAATGAGGAGGTGACAGTGATAAAGTCACTGTGATACTGTGATCAGAAAAGCTGCGATAAGAAAAAAAATGCATATAGGGAAAAGTAAACTACAAAGAGGGGAGAGAGGAAAAAATGGCTCACCGTCCCCCTGGGACTGTGAGTGACTTTCAGTATTCCCCCAAAAGTTTCACTTCAAACATTACGAGGCCAAAAAGGTCTCTTTCTGCGTGCCAGTTCTGGCAGCTGATGGAGGAGGCAGAGGAAGAAGGATGGCTGAATTTTTCATTCAAATAACTTTGTTCCATTTGGATGTGCCTTGTCTGGAATTCCCATTGATGGCAACAAGGTGTGAATTTTCCTGATTTGGAGGGCAAAAGTCATCTCTTGGACCTGAGTTTGTTAATAAGTTAATTTTTGTTTAATTTTGTTTTCCATTTAATTCTCTTTCTTTTACTATTTTAAAGCCATGAAAGATGAGCACTAAGGGCTGGGAACAAGCCAAGAGAGAAATATAGTTTATAATTTCCTTTAGAGTTCTGTGCCTCAGTGTTTGGGAACCACTTCAAACTGGTTAGTAAGAAATACTCCTCCCTCAGTCCCCTGCTCCCATCCCAGATAGTGTTAGGTCACACTACACACTACCATTTCGCATGTTATTTTTAAAATATTTTTATCTTTCAGGGCATAACACACATTTGTAGGAGCTGAAAGTCTGAGGGATCCCTCAAAAGATACAGGATACTGTGTCTACTATGAAATAAGTATATTACAGACACCTGTCTAGCAGAACAGTTATATCTTAAATTGATCTTATTTAAAAATAAATAAACAAACAAACAAACAAACAAATAAATAAATAAATAAATAAATAAATAAATAAATGAGGAGGAGGAGTAGAATTTCTGAGTAAAATTTCTTACCTATGCAGGTCTTACCTGAACACTACATCCAGGACTTTTTAGCCCATTGTGCTTCTGAGTAAGCCCCACGCTAGTTGACCTTGGCCATCTTGCTAACAGGGTATGGTTCATGTAGTGGTTCTCCATACTCTGTTTCAAAATCAGAGGGCACAGAGCCCACTGAAGTCATTTACATTCCAAAGGATGTAGAATGCGGTCAGAAGTCCTGGAAAGATTTCACTTCTTTTCGTTTTCACTTGTTTGTCTTCTTTTTGTCCTTTTCCTTTTTTTTTTTTTTTTTTTCCCTTCTCTCATTCTTGATATTTTCTTGGTCACTGAAGATGTAGAAGGTAGAAGGAGAGGAGAAAGAAAAGAGAAGATGATCAAACAGAAAAATAAATGAAAGGTTGACTTGATTTTTTGAGTAGTGAACAAAAAAAATGAAATACTTCCTTGAAGAGCTGTTTTGTGGTTTTGTTTGTTTCCTTGCTTGCTTGTTTGCTTAGTTTTGAAAAAGATCATTGTGTGTTGTTTCTTTTGGTTTTAGTTTGAGATTCTTCTTGTTTTTTTGTTTGTTTCTTTGGTCACAATATTTTGGAGCGCGAGTTTCCGTTCTTTATTAGCGTCCATTTTTTCTCTTTCACTCTCCAGTATCCTTTCTACATGGGCAGGAATATTTCCTGCCTGCTGTCAAGCCATTGGCTATGCTAAGCTCTTTTGCTGTCCCATCACAGTAAATCCTTTGGTCACATTTTGATAGTCAACAACCTTCACCTTTCAAACGTAGCAAATTTTATGCTACCTGTGAAAATGGCTATTGGCAAGAAGGTTTGCTCAGGAATTCTGTTCTCTCAGGAAAAACACCCACGGTCTTCAGTGGTCTTTTCTAATTCAGTCTACCACTGAACAATTCTTCCTCCAGATTGCCTACTTTTTATTTTCACTGATTTATGTTACGGGAGTTGTCCTTGGTTCTTGATATCAAAACTATTGTAATGAATTGCATCAGTTATCTTAAATTGAAAATTATTGTCTTGAACAAATTATTACCTCAGAGATCCCCACCATATTTTTAGAGCTCTAATTTTAATGCCAATTAAAATGAGGCAAAAATGTGTCTTCGGTATCTAAAGAATGGGTAATAGTGTTGGAAGAAGCCTGTAGGAGATTTAAGAAGCATGCCTCTCTGAAGAGCTGTTGCTTTTGCCAGTAGTACTATGTCCTGAGGCTCTGAAGAACATTTCCATCACTGAGAAGAGCTGCAGAGAGTTATACAATAATCACCTGCAAATTTGACAAAGCAAAGTCAGGATCTTAATACTGCAATTCATTTCCTTTGATATATTATCTGTCATCTCTCCCTTCCCACATAACCTCTTTATAATGAGAAGGATGTGTGCATCACCTATTCCCTTGACTGTTGAGCGAGCAAGTTATTTCCCTTCTCTTTCTCCCTCTCCCTCGCAGTCTCTCTCTCTCTCTGTTTCTTGTTTTCTTTTTTCTTCCTTGGTTTCTGGGACTAAAGATGTTGGTTGTATCTTCCATCTCTCCCTGCCTCTTTTATGACTCTTTCAAAGGAGAGGGAAAAAAATCTCGTTTGATTCAACTTGACACAAAATACTGCAGGAGAAGAGAGCCCATGGTGAGGGCTTTGGCCACGTAGCCCGCAGCCAAGTGAGGGTGCCCCAGTACGCTCCTTCAGATATGGCCAGGCTGTATTTTAAGCAAAGGTCCGAACTCTGCTCATTTCACTTTCAAAGAGCCTGGATGGGTCTTTGGGGAGCTCTGAAGTCCAGGGGAGGAGAAAGCTTGCATTCATGCAGTCCAGTGCCTGGTGAGACAGGGCTGGCTGTGGACGTGTCTGCCCGCCTGTGGTTCCCCCTCAGCTGCCCTTGGGAACACAGTGCATGAGATCTACACAAAAAGTGCAAAAGAGCCTGGAGCTGAGTGATAATATCTTTACAAACAAGCTTTTCATTACCATGGACCTCTTCGACACTAGCTCTCCTTGGCTGGAGGATGCTGAAGAAAGCTCGGTTACTTTTCAATTAATATTTAGATATCTTCTGAGATTTTGCTACATAAAGGCTATGGTTTCATGTGTGATTCACACGGCCCTTAAGTTTAAATCAATTTAAAACTTTGATAGAAACTCTGAAAGCTACAAAGTTTATTTATATCTCTTGTAATCCCTCTGAAATCCTAGGAGTGGAGTCACCCAAATAAGAAGTCACAGTGTTTGGGTTCTTGTCTAACCAAGGCTCATTGATTTTTAAGCACATAAATTCAGGAACTCTAAAGACCCAGCCAAAGACAATAAGGCAGCAGCACAGTTCGGAGATTCCCTCGGGGAGGAGATGTGGTTGTAAACACTTGAAAATGTTTAAATCCAGTGAATGCTCTAGTTATATTTGGTAGGTCTGACAGGACAAGCAGTCCTAACAATCTGTAACACTGGACAGAATGGAGAAAAATCTTTGCCAAAGACAACGGAGGCCTTACAGTCCTCATCTCCACCATCAGAACATGGAGTTATGGCCTCATTCCTCCAAGCGATGCTCTTACCCTTCTGCATCTCCCTCCCACGAGATGCAGCAGCTGTTCTTGGCACGGCGC